ATGATGATGATGATGATGATGATGCTGATGCTGATGCTGATGCTGATGATGCTGCTGATGATGATGATGATGATGATGATGATGATGATGATGATGATGATGATGATGATGATGATGATGATGATGATGATGATGATGATGATGATGATGATGATGGGAGGAGGGAGGGGGGGGAGGAGGAGGAGGTGAGGAACACGGGGCGCCGTCTCTCCAAAACGAGGACCCAACACCACAGGATGGTTGGGAAATACCCCAAAAATACCCCAAAAAGGTCAACAAATACTAAAAAAATAGTCCCCAGACTATTTTTGGACAAGTTGTTTTTATCATTTTTGGGGTATTTGTTATTTTTCGTCGAAGCTCCCCCTGTAGGGGGACAGGCCCGACTTAAAGGTATGGGTGGGAGGAATGCGTGAGTAAGGCGACTTAGGGGATCCCCGCTGAACTATTCAATTGAACGCCCCTGAGGGGGCAGACACCGCCGCCCCACGTTTCTGGACAGGTGGAGACTGTGGGAGGCTTGGTGGAAGACGAGGCGGGCAATTGGAATGGTTCCAGAGGGCGAGAGGGGGGTCCGAGACGGCCCAAGGGCCGCCCCCCAACACGCGAGAGATTGCCCAAGAGGGCCCGCAGAGGCCCCGAGAAATACGCCAAACAGCAACCAAAGGTATCGAAAACGGCGGACGAAACCTATGAGAGATATGGAGAGGTAAACGGGAGCTACGGGAGTCATTTTTCTGTGTCTCTGAGAGCCTTCCAGGGACCCCCTGGGCACGCTCAAGATGATTCAGGAGGGATTCAAAAGTGCGGCCAGACGGCCCAAGACGGGACCGAGAGGCCTTCAGGACGGTTCGAGGGGCCTTGGAGATATTCCAGCGTGGCCGGAGAGGCCCAAAGAGTGCCACAAGAGGCTCCACGAGTTCCAAGAGGCGCAAAGAGAGGCTCCCAAAGGCGACACTCATCAAAACCCTTTTGGCTTCAATACATCATTGAGCCCGCAGAGCGACAGACACGGCGGGTACCCAGGGGAGGTTTCCACGCAGATCCAGGAGGATGTCCCTAGCGAAATCGTCATATTTGAAATTCCTGAAATTCAGAGTCCTCTCCGAAGCCGAGTTGTCAAGGATGTCCCGAGCGAAACGGCTGATCTTGACATTCTGAGTCCCCTCCGAAGCCGATCTTGTCAAGGATGTTCTGAGCGAAGCGACCATTTCCCGTTCCCCAGGAGTTGTCACGCACATGGGCCTACACGTCACGTCGGTCGTTGAAAGCAGGTATTATTGTATTCCCGGACCTCCATCTACTTCAGGCGCCTTCCTACTTCAAGAATCGACATGCTTCTGTTGCGATGCGATGCGATGCGATGCGATACGACCACCGTTGCGGACAGCGTCCGGGCCTACTCAAGACCGGGTGGGTGAGGCCGTGGCCTCGGGAATTTGGCGTGTCTGGACAACATGCAACGTGAGACAATTGCGCAAAAAAAATAGGAGGGACGGAGGGAGGATGGTCCTTAGGGTCGGTCGTGTCAGCCTGTGTGGGAAGAAAGGAAGGGGGAGGAAGAGGAGGAAGTCCTTGGTGTCGGTGTCGACGTGGGATGTCTCGCTGGGCGTTCGCGTCATTGGCTTCGGTTCTGGGTGTCTGCAGGTGTGGGGTCTACGTAGTGGTGCTCGAGCGCCGTCCATGTTTCGGTGTCCTTGTTGTCGGAGTCGTTGTGTTTGCGTGTCGTGGATAGTGATGCCGTCGATGATGCTTCTCGGCTTCACACCCGTATGGCCGCATGGCAATCGCAAGTGTGGGAGCTGGGAGTCGGAGAGATGGGATCCACGAGTGGAGCCGGAGTCGGAGAGATGAGATGAGATGGGAGCTGGAGTCGGAAAAATGGGAGCCGGAGGGCCTGAACCCAATCGACTTGCTTCGCCCAGGAGTTGTCACGCACACGGGCCTACACGTCGGTCGTTGGACGTCGGTATTCCTGTATTCCCGGACCCCCCTATCTACTTCAGGCGCCCTCCTACTTCAAGAATCGGCATGCTTCTGCTGCGTTGTGTTGTTCTCTGGGAGGGCCTGCACCCCATCGGCTTGATTCGCCCTCCTACCTCTCGCTTCTGCCTGCTGCCTCCGAGCGGCGGCCCCTGCGGCCACGGCCACGGCTGGGGCCGGGGCCCGTTCTTCCACAGTCGGGGAAACGTAGAACTCGAGTAATCGGAGGTGGATAAACCTCCTACCCTGACACGTCGATTAAGGAATTGGCCCAGGAGCTATCACGCACACGGGCCTACACGTCGGTCGTTGAAGGTAGGTATTTCTGAATTCCCGGACCCCCCATCTACTTCAGGCGCCTTCCTACTTCAATCGGCATGACGTCGATTCAGGAATTGGCCGTTTTCGGTTCGCGAGGGAGCATCGGGGCCGTCATTTTTGCGGGTCCAGGTCCGTCGGTTTCGGTCCCAGGCCGTTTTCACTAAGGGGAGGTTTACTGAAGGGAGGTTTGTCCACCGCCGAAGTAAGCCGGAGCTCTAAGCCGGAACTCTCGGGCCAGACGAAAGGGGGGATTCGGAAAGGCGGGGTTACGAAATCTGCTGCATGCAGTTGGTTTCGGCCCCGCCGCCGGGCCCATTCCACGATGCATGGGCGCCTCCCGGCGCCGGGAGGCGCCGGGAGAATCAGCTACCCGAGCTGATTCTCAAACCCCCCCTTTGGTATCCCCCCCTCCCGCCCGGCCCGGAACTCGCGTTTGCCGACGTTTTTTGACGAGCGCGTCCCAGATTTCAACGGCCCATTTTTTTTAGTGGGATGTTTGCAGCGGGAGTTCGCGTCGAATCCTTGACGCTTCGCGTATCCCACCACCAGCTGCCCGCTGGCGCGCTCGCCTGCGGCCGCTGACAAAAGTATCCCCGCCAGCCCATCCAGAAACGATCAGCAGGGGAATTGGTGAATCAGGGGCGGCAGGACGCATGCAGTCGCGCAGCCGTCTTGGGGAGAACAAGGATCGCAATGATCTTCCCGCATCGAAGTTCAAGATGGAAATCAGTGCAAGCTGCGATGGTGCTTCGACGAGGGGTGAGGGGTGTCACGATCATTCGTAATGGCTGTTCTGATTTGTATCTTAAACTGGTGTGCGCTCCGAAACTTGGAGGCATCGTGGGGCTCTCTCAGGATTCTCTTGGGCCCCTCTTGGGGCCTCCTGGGGCTCTTTCTTGGCGCTCTCTTGAGGTCCTCTTAGGGCCTTCTTGGGGCTCTTTTGGGGCGTCTTGGAGTTCTTTTGGGGGGTCTGGGGGCCTTCTTGGGGCTCTTTTGGGATGCCTGAGGGGCCTCTTGGGTCCGTCTGTGACCTTTTCTAAAGAAAGAAGGGGGTTCCAATTCCCATCGCCCCCTCGGAGGCTCAAAAATGCCGTCTTGGGGCCCTCTTGGCCCGCTTTGGAGCGCTCTTGGGGCCGTCATGTAGCCCTCAAGGACCCCTCTTGGGGCTATCTTGGGCCGTCTTGGGACCATCTTGAGGCCGCAAGAGCCCATCGGAGGTGAAAAAGCGAGAAGGCAGAAAACATTGATGTTCCTTAGGTGTTCAAAGGAATTTGGCCTCTTGGGGGGGTCCTTGGAGGCCTCTGAGGGCACTTGAAACCGTCTTGGGGCCCCCTCAGAGGCCTCTTGGACGTGTTTCGGAGGCTACCTTGACCCATCTACCATTATCTTCGACCATCTTGGAGGCCATCTTGCGCTCTCTGAAGCCCTCTTGGGGCCATCTTGGGCCATCTTAGACGCTGCTAGGGGGGGGGGGTAAACCTCCCAAGCAGGGAAAGGAAGGAGGTTGGAACAGGAAACGCCCTAGACCGGGCTGGTGGGATTGCAGATCAGGCCAACCCGAGCACAGTCGGGCCGCTGAAGAAGGAACCCTTTTCGTTGGGGAGGGGCTCGGTGTTCCTTGATTGGTTTACAGTTTGCCTATGGTTTTCCTTAAGTTTTCCATGGGGGATCGAAGTTTAACTTATGGGAAAAGGTGGCCTCGTTCCTTATTTAGGGTTCCTTAGGTCAAGGCCCCGACTGTACCCCGTACCCGAGTCTGACGTCTCCCCGAAGGTTGGACCAACCCCCAGGAACCCCCATGGGGCAGTAATCTGACCCGGGATTCCCCCCCCTACCCCTCCCCCCCGGGTCAGGGAAGGGAGACAGGGGAAGGGAGTCGACTCAATTGCGACGTGTCTTTACTCTGTTCGTTCCTCAATTTTTTGTGATTGGCGACGACTGCGACGAAGACAACGACAGCGTCTCGCACGCGCCGAAGTGTCGGCTGATTGTTATGCGCTCCAGGAAAACGGTTGGCCTCCTCGAAGCAGATTCAAAGCTTTTTGGAAACATCATCGGCCGGCGGAATGGGCAAAGCCCCATCTTAGCATGCCTTATGCACTATGCGTGCTTCTCCCTCTCCTCCATAATCCTCTATCTCATCATCTATAGCCTCGTCGCCTGACACTGTGAGGGCCCACAGGGTCCCGCCGCATTCAATCGCTCTGCTCACCCCGTCGGCCCACATTGCATCACTGTTGCTCTGTTGGCGTGCTCGTGGCGAGCGAGGAGGCGGAGTAGGAGGAGGAGGAGCAGGAGGAGGAGGAGGAAGAAGAAGAGGCCTCGTGATGCTTTCTCCGGGCGCTTCAGCCGCTGCATGTTTTTCGGGGCGTCTGGGGGTCTGGGAGTCCTTCCTCGCCGATCTCTTCGTTTGTCGCTGCTCGTTGCCGGTTCCTAGCCTGCACAGCTGCACCTTTTTCCCCTTCCTCATTCCCCCCGCCCCCCCGATCATCCTCTACCTCCTCCTCGCTCCCCCCTCCACCTCGCTCCCTTCCCCGCCCCCTGGCCCTCCTCCTCTGCCTGGCCCACTTCTCCTCGTGCTCCTCACCCTCCTCCGCGCTCCTCGCTCCCGACCTCCCCCCTGCGCCCAGGACGATCCTCTTCCCCTCCCCCCCCCCCCCCCCCCCCGGGCGGGCCTGACGGCGCGGCGGGGAAAGGCCCCGCGCTGCTGACGCCCCCGTCCATACCCACGGCCCTCGGCGCGCTCTTCCTGGCGGAGATTCGGAGGGCCCCGCCCCACGGCTCGCCGTTCGCTGGCGGCCCGCCGCCGCCGTCCGTCGTCGTGCGTCGTCCGCCGCTTCGGCGAAGACAAAGGGTGTGGCTACGCCCTGGTGCGGTTTGCGATCGGCACCGTCAGGGCTTTGGGGAGCACGGCACGGTGCTCGTCGGCCTCCTTGGGGCGCGGCGGAGAGCTCTGCCCCCCCAGGGTACCCCCCCCCCAGGGTGCAAACCACATCTTGTGCAGACCACACCTTTCAGAGCCGCCGGGGCGTCGTCGTCGTCGGTCCTCGCTCTCTCGTCCGTCACTCGGGAGCCCCCGAACGGTGTGGTGACTTCACCGCGTGGTGAGTCAATGGGGATTCGGAGTCCCCACGCGGTTTTGGGACTCGAGTCGTTCTCCGAGGATGTCTCGAGCGACTTTGGCCTCCGAGGTCCCTCAGAACAGTGCGGTGACAGACCGCGCGGTGAGGTCTTTGGGGCTTCTGGGACCACCACGCGGTCCGTCCCCGCGGAGCAGGAGGAGGAGGAGGAGGAGGAAGAGGAGGAGGAGGAGGAAGAGGACGAGGACTGAGAGGGCGAGGAGTGAGGAGGAGGGGGCGCCATGGGCTGGCCTGCCCCGGCGCAGGCCAGCGCGAGGGCCTGGGGGGGGCCCGAGGCCGTCGATCACGGGGCGCGCCTGTTCTGCTGGCGGTGGGCCCCGAGGCGTCTCGCTGCTGTGGCCCCCCTCGGGGCCCCCTCCACGGGCCCAAAGACCATCAGGGAACGACCGCGGCCCAGGGGCTCCTCCCCCTCCTCCTCCTCCTCCTCCTCCTCTTCCTCCTCTTCCTCCTCCTCCTCCTCTTCCTCCTCCTACTCCTCCTCCTCCTCTTCCTCCCTCCCTCCCTCGGGAAGGACCCCGCCGTTTGTACGGCAGATCGCCATCCTCGTCCGTCCCCCCGCTGCCGTCGTCGCATCTGGAGGTGCAAGGTGCGCGTACGCCCCTAGCGCGCCGCCGCCGCCACCTGCCGCCGCCGCCGCCGTCGGCGCCGTCGTCGTGAGGTCGTTTTCGTCGTCGTCGCCGTCGTCGTCGCCGCCGTCGTCGTCGTCGTCGTCGTCGTCGTCGTCGTCGTCGTCGTCGTCCGTCCCCGTCCTCGTAGCCCGCGGGGCGCGCGCGGGCGCTCCCGCTCTCGGCGCCCCTCGGACTCGGGCCCTGCTGCCCAGGAGGGCCTGCGGCGGTCCCCTCCCTCGGTCGTTGCGCAGCTCATGGGGGCGACAGCTGTAAGTCGGGCCTGTCCCTCTACTGGAGGAAGATCCAAGCACAGTTAAAAGTAGTATGGAAACGACTGTCCGATCCTGTTTTCGTTATGATTGAACATGTTCTGAATAAGTTAAACCTGTCTTAGTTTTAGTCCCAAATCCGCCTGTAGGGGGACATGCCCGACCTAAAGTTAATGGGGGCGATAGCTGGGAGGGGTGAAGAAAGGTGCACCTCTCGTGCATTAGTTGGGGCCTTCCAGAGGCCCCCAGGGGCCCACAGGAAGCACTAGAGAGGTGCACTTACAGTGGGGGCCCATGCCAAGAAACACCCTGCTCGCCTCCAGGGTGCCATGGGTTTATTGGGCTTCGATGCCTTTGCGATGCAGAGCGCGACTCTCCCACACCAAACATCCATGGACGTCATGGGGTCTCAGGATTTTCAAAATCGTGTATCCAAAAAACATACAAAAACACTACGTTTCGCAACACGGATTTTCAACAAAAGCGTGCGCGCGCGCTCTGGCGTCGTCTTCGTCGTCGTCGTCGCCGTCCTCCCTCTTCCCGCGTCGTCGTCGTCGTCGCCTACGTCGTCCTCTGTCTTTCCTCGTGTTCGTCGTCGTCGTCCTCTTTGGCGTCGTGGTCGTTTCCGTCGTCGTTGTCGCCGTGGTCGTCCTTCCTCCTCCTCCCTCGTCGTCGTCGTCGTCGTCCGTCGTCGGCGTCTCGTCGTCGTCCCTCCTCTTTCGTCGCCGTCGTCGTCGTTGTCGTCGTCGTCGTCATCCCTCTTCCCTCTTCCCCGAGTACCAGGAGGAGCCCCACATCAAACCGTAAGGTTCACAGAAAATCTCACGAAGGCGGAGCGGCGGGACATGAAGCAGCTCGGTTTCGTCAAATACCACCTCAACCGTCTTTCGGGCATCCCCCTTGAAGACATTCGTATTTTGAGGGACCAGCTCGTGGTACAGGTGCTGGGGAAAATGGTGGCGAAAATCACGTTTGGGGAAGTGGAATGCGCAGGGCGGGGACAAGAGGTGAAGGTGCCGGTTGCCCAATCAATGCGCGAATGGGACGCCAAAAGTTTCCCCAAACAACTAGTCCCGAGGGCGCGGTTTGAGACCGGCCCTGAAAGTTTTGGAGGTTTTTTCAACACAATCGGGTATTCGAATTTCTCTCTCCCCTCCCTCCCTCCGCCTCCCGCTGAGAATACCCGTGTCTTCCAGAATTCGATGCGAGACCAATACGGCAGTGTATTTGTTTACCCTCCTTCAGGAACCGCCCCCACAGGACTTGCAGCCTCGACGCCGACATCGCGACCAACCGCTTCACCGGCGTCAGCGTGGAGCACTGGAGGCGGGAGAAAGGCTTATGCACGAACAGACGGCGACGTACCAGCATGCATCTTCCACAGAGCAAAAAACGATCCCGACAGACCAGAAGCACCCACCAGCGACCACCGACGACCCCCAACCAACACCACAAGCAGCACCGACCCTGACCGACCAGCAGCATCCACCAGCACCCACCACGGACAACCACCGACCAGCAACACCACAAGCAGCGCCGACCACACATGACCAGCAGCACGCGCCAGCACCCACCGCCGACCAACACCGACCAGCAGATCCACAAGCAACGCCGACCCCACCCGACCAGCAGCACCCACCAGCGACCACCGACGACCACCGACCAGTACCACAAGCAGCGCCGACCCAGACCGACCAGCAACACCCAGCACCAAATACCGACCACCAACGACAAGCAACACCACAAGCAACGCCGACCCCGACCGACCAGCAGCACTCACCAACGACCACCGCCGACCGACGACCAACACCACAAGCAACACCGACCCAGACCGACCAGCAGCACCAACCAGCACCTACCGCCGACTACCACAACAGACGAGCAGCACCACAAACAGCGCCGACGCCACCCGACCAGCAGCACCCACCAGCGACCACCGACGACCGCCGACCAACACCACAAGCAGCACCGACCCAGACCGACCAGCAGCACCCACCAGCACCCACCACCGACAACCACCGACCAGCAGAACCACAAGCAACGCCCACCCCACCCGACCAGCAGCACCCACCAGCTACCACCGCTGACCGACGACCAACACCACAAGCAGCACCGACCCAGACCGACCAGCAACACCCACCAGCACCTACCACCGACCTCCTTCACCGACCAGCAGCACCGCAAGCAGCGCCGACTCCAACCGACCATCAGCACCCACCAGCGACCACCGACGACCGACGACCAACACCACAAGCAACACCGACCCAGACCGACCAGTTACACCCACCAGCACCTACCACCGACCTCTTTCACCGACCAGCAGCACTGCAAGCAGCGCCGACTCTAACCGACCAGCAGCACCCACCAGCGACCACCAGTGCCCAATACCAGCGCCGACCAACCTGCACCAACAACAACCAGGGCAGACCAACCACAAACATATGACAATCATTCACAAAAACGCCTGGTCTCTTTCAACAGACGACCGAGTCAGTGAGATAATCAGCGAGCTCGAGTCCGATCACTGGGATTTCGCCCTTATCAGCGAAACGTGGAGAACAACGGCCGAAGAGTTCTTAACAACCTCGGAAGGGCACGCCTTCGCCGGATCTGGCAATGACCAAGCATGCCATGGAGTTGCCTTAATCATACATCGACGTTGGGTTAAAAACATACAGAGGTTCCAAGCGCTTTCGCCCAGACTCGCCTCGGTATCGCTGAAGAAAGGGAGATTGAAAGTACAACCCGTGGCTGCATATTTTCCTCATTCGGGATACAGTGACCCATACGTGCAGCGCATGTACGACATGATCCATGAGCTTCACAGAGAGAGCACCAAGACACGACATCACTTGATACTCGCAGGGGATTTAAACGCACAGGTGGGGGCTCCCATGACCTCCGAGGACGCAGACGACGCCGCCGACATTTTCGACAACACTTCCAGACATGTTGGCCGCCATGGGTTCGGGGAGCAAAACTCGAGGGGTAGTTGGCTGCGTCATTGGGCCGCCCAGGAGGGACTTGTTATTGCAAATCCGTTTTTTGTTGCAAGCCAGTGCAAAAGCAAATCACTTATAGCAGTGGCGACAATCACAAGCAGCTCGACAACGTACTACTGAACCGCACGATGCTCCGGCACTGCACCAACGCAGAGGCCAACAACAGGACCGACCTCGGCTCCGACCACAGGGCTGTTACCGTCGATTTGCGGATACCGACCGCAATGATATGCGGACGACCGCGATGTGACGACGAACGACGACAGCAACGGCGACAGCACCGACGACGAACGACCAGCACTATCACCAACACGCAAGTTTACCATGACCACCAAAGGCCCCATTTACGCCCGCACAGTTTGCCTTCCGACCCGAGTGAACTGTGCGAACACATCCAGCGAGTTATCGTCGAAGCCGGTGCCGCCAGCAGTGCCGCAGGAAAACCATCTTGGTGCGACAGAGACGGTGCAATCCCGGCCAGTGCGCAAGCGAACCAACAACCCGACAGAGGACCAGCACGACTATGCCACTTACTCACTGAACGGCAGCTGACGCCAAATAACGACCACCACGCCCGCAAGCAGCTGAGTAAACGTATACATCAAGAAATTCGCGCACAGAAGAGGACGAGACGACGGGCCCATGTAGCAAACGTACTGGAGCAGTTCAGACATTTAAAGAGTACCCCGCGTATCAAAACACGAAGAAAAAGAGCTCTCATCACCCACGTGACACACAAAGAGG